GTCCCTGGTAAGGTAATATTTAATCCAGTACACCTTTAGACTCGTCCTACAATAGGTATCCTGGACAACCCAACAATATAAAATCTCACTGACTCTCTGCTATGTATAAATTAACTCAAATTATCACAGTAATAACCATCATCTTGAGGTACACAGATAAGATGCCACGCCACTAAACTACGGTAGTGCATCTTATTAATTTCTGTGTCCTGTTTTGTATAAGTTCACGTTTGTATTCAGCAATGTTCTTGGCGCTGTAATGTGAGTGTTCAGTATATATGTGAATATTCGCTTCATAGTTCAGTTATTGGTTATTTATGAGTTATGTATCGTAATTATTCATGATGTAAAGGTTATTGTTTTGTCTTTGTTATTTTCAGGAGTTTATTTGTTGTTGTTGTTGTGATATTTACCAGAGATAATTTTTGTTTATGATTATTCTGCTCTTGTTTACTTGTTTGTGCAGCTCAATCATAACAACGTATCATTTAACTATGTTATTTATGGAGCCACAGTGAACACAAATCTTGACTGAACACTTTCCTAAATGTTATTGATAAACTTACATAAACTATTACGTTATTACACTTGTTGAATGAATTAAAAAAAAAAAAACCTAACTTTTGGTGTTTTGTTTGTGTTGCAGTCTTGAGTACACGTTTGTTAGTATACATGATCATAGTTTATTATATATCATGTGGTCTTACTCTATAGTGGTACTTAATTCATCAACTTCTACACCAAAAAACACCTTATAAAACTCTAGATGATATACTAGTATGTATTTACAGTAAACACACATATATATAATTAAAATAACAAAATCGAGGATAATACGTGACAATAAGGTTATATAACACAAATATAAAGAAACTGTAAAATCAACGTAAATTTAGATCGAAGTTGAAAATAAAGATTAATATTTACGGCAACCTACCCAAGCAAGAGCAACCAAAAATACGGAGATATTTTTTTGATTGTTCAGATTAGTTCCTGTTGCCAATTAGGATTTTTAGCCCTAACAACGATCAATGGCGGTAAAAGAGATAACGATCCGCTTTACCCTTTTTTTTTTTATTCCTTGAAATAGAAAGTTCGGCGTTCAGTTTACGAGTGATTTGTCTAAAACTTTTTCTGTTCTTTTCTTTCTGTATTTCTTATCTTTTATCCTTTCTGTTTTCTTTCGTTTTTCAATGTGTTTTTCTTTTTAATTCTTCTTTTTAATTTTTGGCTTTTTCTTTTCTATTACGACAATCGCAAATGCCACACGTCAATCTCCCGTGTGTGTGTGTGTGTGTGTGTGTGTGTGTGTGTGTGTGTGTGTGTGTGTGTGTGTGTGTGTGTGTGGGTGTGTGTGTGTGTGTGGGTGTGTGTGTGTGAAACTGTCTCTCCCCGATGTCCTCCGTCCTTGAAACGTATTCCAGCTGTTGTTTACTTAGACTCTGACAATCATACTGTAGTCGCTTTAACCACCTTCACTACTGGGACGCTTCATTTATTATTTTATTTGGTTAAAGCTGGATGATTTTACTCAGCTCAGAATTATTTAGTAGACTATCTTATTTCTAGTAAGTGTGTGTGTGTGTTTTAGGTTAGGAAAATTGTAATAGAATCTACACATAATTGTTAATACCTTTCCTAAAATATTTATATATATATATATTTGTAGTCCCTATTGGAAATCTAGGGAAGTCATAAGTCATATATTATTCCAAAATACCTTACATAAAAAACAACACATTGATAAATATTCTAGAAATCGTACACATAAAATGATTCCGAAATTCATTCTTTTACAAATATGAAAAAAAAGGATCGTAACTCAAAAGGTTGTTACTATAAAATTATGTTTCTCATCACCATTTATTTATTTATTTTTTTAGGTAATCTGAAAGTTTTATTATTTTCTTTTACAACTTGTCTTTAAAAGGATCGTAAATTCCAGACTGAGTACACACGGCCTCAAAAATGTGAATTGCAAGAAAATTTTAATTTTGTGTATAAAGTAAATTTGTAAAGTGTTGCCTGTATTTGGCGGTAAAGTTTTTAAGTATTTGTAAAGTAGTATGCCCTGAAGTATTTGAAATATTTGACATTTGTAAAGTATTATGTCTGAAGTATTTGACATTTGTGAAGTATACATGGGTATGCCTGAATCGGCACATTCAAGTTAACCTGACGATGTATATAATTAACCCCCAAAAAAAATCATATCTGAAATACTCTCCACGGATGTAAACATGATATACGGCTGACATCTCCCAAACAAATCACTTCGGTAAGGAATACATCAAATTAGACACTTTAATGAGACCTAATTATATTGCACACATTCTGATCTGAACCATTGGCAAGCGGCTTTAATTAACCTAACCGAGTACGAAGTCTTTGATACAATATACCGAGAGAGTTTGTTATAACTGTACTTGAAACATTTGCGATACACGGTGAGTTGTCCAGGTGGATTAGCTTATTCACCTCAGCCTGGAAAAGCACAGGG